ACGAAATTTGATTTTAAAATTTTTTTTTACTGGACATATTTAATAGCAAAAAGTCAAAAAATATTGTTTTCTCAAAATTGTCAGTCTTTTTTTTTTATAATAAAAATAAAAACACACAGGTGATCAAATACCACCGAAAGAAAGCTCAAATTCATGGGAAAAAAAGGACGTAAATTTCATTTGGGTGCAGCATTGCATAACTGCGCAATTGTCAGTTAAAGTAACGTAGCGCCGTATCGCAAAAAATGGCCAGGTCAGGAAGGGGGGCAAATCCTCTGGAGGGCAAGTGGTTAAAATACAGCTGCCAAGATCGTTTTAACATGAAAGCAGCTAGCCGGCTGAAAGATAATACAAAGCTCAAAGCTGGTGCAAGCTAATTTTAATTGAAGTGCGGACCATTTAAAAATGGCCTGTGGACTACAGGTGGTTAAGATAAAAAGCAACATTCAGTCCTGTAATAAGGACAATAATACTTGAAAATAGCATTTTTTTTTCTTATTTGCCGAGGGTTTGGCTTGAAAGCAGCAACGATTTGTGATAACGCCATATGCCAGATCTGCTGTTGTATTCAAATGAGACAGCGTGTCTTGAAATAATACAGATCACTCAGGGCCACAGGGGGTGCTGGAGTGTGGAGAGACCAGGCGAAGCATGTCGGCATACAGTGCCATGCTATAGTTATGGAGACTCACTAAGATTTGATACTCAGCAGAGAATCACCGAGATCCCTCCTGTGACTGAGAGCTCTACTGGGGAGACAATACTAAGCTGGCAGGCATGGGTGATGTAGGGCAGTTATCATCATTCACTTATGTAGACTGGAAATATGGTCACAAGTACACGTGGAGCATAATTATACCAGATTTAAAGCCCTTCTCCGGGAAATCTGAAAATTCCTTCTTGGAGTGGGGCTGCGGCCACGCTGCAAGGGTTAACTGCTCATTTAGGGCCCGTTTGCATAAGAACGCGGTATGGGAGACCTGAGTTCTGTGCCGGTTTCCCGCACAGCATTCCAATTGCACTGCCTTTGCGATCTGCAGTGGGTGTCAGCAGGGCTGCTGTTAGAAATCGAAGGGCCCCATACAGCCAACCTTACAGCCCCCCCCCCCCAAAAAAAAACAAAAAAAACCCCACAAACGTTTATTATGTTTCAGTTATGAATAAACACAGCGAGTGATCAGTACCAATCACTCATTGTGTTCATTCAGGAAAGGAAGGGGCTGGTAAATGTGACAAATTTACTGGAACCTTCCCCTACTCCCCATCCTGAAGGATCCTATTGTGTGCTTGCAGCTGCCAGTAGAAAGGAGAGGGAGGATGCTGGCAGCATTGTGGGGGTGGGGGCACACAGGTGGTCCTGGGCAGGAGGGGGGGACGCATGGTGCACAGAGAGGGTAATGAATGCGGTGTGTGGGGGGGCAATTACTGGTATTGATCCCATGCATGGCTCTCTTTGCAGCAGCTGTAAGCCAGTGGGATGGAGAAGAGAAGCAGCCAGATTTCAGCTGCTGCAGAGAGAGTCATACAGGGGATCGGTCCCAGTAATTGCTCCCCCACCATGCCTATCACCCTCCCTGCCCATATCTGATTCACCCAGCTGCCTGGGCCCCCCTGCTGGCCTGGGCCCTGTACAGAAGGACTGGTGGTACCCCCCTTATCCACAGCCCTGGGTGTCAGTGCAAAGTTATTGATATCTCAAACACCCTACAAGAAAGAAAAGGAAGGGAGACCCTAATAATGTACCCAATGGTCTCACACCTTGCTACTGGGTTTTACTGGTGCCACGCCCCCTATTATAAAGACACTGAAAAAATAAAGAAACCCTGACCAGATGGAAACTGCTGGGGCTTTTGAGGCACTACACCAACAATACTACATACAAATATTATCAAAAACTCTATTATACACTGTTAACCGCTTGCCTGCCTGGCACTTTTACCCCCTTCCTGCCCAGGCTGATTTCCAGCTTTTGCACTTTGAATGACAATTGCGCGGTCATGCAACACTGTACCAATATGAATTTTGTATAATTTTTTTTCACACAAATAGAGCTTTCTTTTGTTTGTATTTAATCACCACTGGGGGTTTTATTTTTTGCGCTATAAACAAAAAAGAGCAAAATATTTGAAAAAAAAAAGTTTTCTTTCTTTCTATTATAAAATTTTGCAAACAGGTGATTTTTCTCCTTCACTGATGTGCGTTGATGAGGCTGCACTGATAGGCAGCACTGATGAGCACTGATGAAGTGGCACTGATAGGCAGCACTGATGAGCACTGATGAAGTGGCACTGATAGGCAGCACTGATGAGCACTGATGAAGTGGCACTGATAGGCAGCACTGATGAGCACTGATGAAGTGGCACTGATAGGCAGCACTGATGAGCACTGATGAAGTGGCACTGATAGGCAGCACTGATGAGCACTGATGAAGTGGCACTGATAGGCAGCACTGATGAGCACTGATGAAGTGGCACTGATAGGCAGTACCAGGGGCGGACTGACAACTCATGGGGCCCCTGGGCATAGTAATTGTGTTTCATCGTCAACTTACCTGCCGAGCGTTTCTGTCCCACTCAGATAACTCCCACAGCGAAAATGTGGCAGAGGCCAAAGCTGCAAAACACAAGGAAGATTTTATCAGGATTTAAAAGCGATAATTTACAGATCCTCTGCGGACTCCCGCCTTATGCTTCTCTCTCTCAGTTTGATACTTTATCATAATTGACGGGAAGGAAATGCACTTTATAAAACACTGTGCAAAGAAGTGAGAGAGAGAGAGAGAGAAAGAAGACTCAAAGAATCAAGAATCCATGAAAGTATACTTAGCAAAGGTTGTACAGGAACAAGAATTAAAATATATGAGCAGAAGACGCAGCTTACGTAGTTTAACCGGCACTGATGGGTGACTGGTGGTTGGTAAATGTGACATATTTGAGCCCTTCCCCCCCACTCTCCATTCTGAAGGATCCTATTGTGTGCTTGCCCCTGCTGGTGGGAAGGAGCAGAGGGTGCCGGCAGCACTGCGAGGGAGGGGGAAGGACACTGGGGGGCCTGTGCACAGGGAGGGTGATAGTTGCACCAGGGGGCAATTACTGGAACTAATCCCCTGTATGGCTCCCACTGCAGCAGCTGAAAGCCTGCTTTCAGTTGGTGCAGAGAGAGCCATACTGGGAATCAGTTCCAGCAATTGCCCCCCCCCCATGCCGATCACCCACCCTGCCAACATCCGATTCACCCAGCTGCCTGGGCCTCCCTGCTGGCCTGGGCCCCGTATAGGAGGCCTGGTTATACCCCCATATCCACAGCCCTGATGACATGGAGTGCTGGGTTGTGCTGGAGGGTCTATTGATGCTGACTGCTGGGGGAATTGTTGAGGGAGGGGTCTATTGTTTCTAGGGGGTGGGCTTATGTTGCTCAGGGGCCAATGTTGATGGCAGGGATCTGGTGATCTGATGATGTGGGAATTGAATTAGACATGATTTCTGGACCAAATCCTGACATAAATGGGGAAAGCCGTGTAAAAATCACCTTTTTTGGGTCAAACACGATGACAATATTCATCATTCATCACATAAAGGAACTATAATGCACAAAGTGTGGTGACTTTATCTCTCGATGTCCAAGAAACGCACATGTGCGGTGGCAAAAGGGGGCGGGTTTTACTGCCTACACACCACACATATGCGTCCATGGCTGGTAGAGGTTTCTGTGCTGTCGTGCTCAGTGCTGTCAAAGACAGCTTCTGGTCTCTAGTATTGATCAGGACCTGGCAGGACCACCTTGCCAGCCAATCACAGTGGTCATATGATCAGGCTGACCTTCCGCTCTGGGCGTAGTAATCATTCATTCAGCCCAATGATCAGGGTCAGTATATTTTTAGGTAGGATTTTGAAAAAACAACATTTTTTGAATTGGTATCAATGTCAGTTAGTGTCAGTGTCAGTATGTTGTAGGTAGGATTAAAAAAAACAAAATACGCACCATTGTTTCTGGGTCCTGGTGCGGGTATACACAACAAATACCATATATATGTGGTGTCGCTGTGATCGTCAGGAGCAGGAGAATTTATTTTGGGATGTTATTTGGTTAAAAGTTATGGTAATGTCAAGTAATAAAATAAACAATTAAAAAAGAAAGATTTAAAAAAAATATTTTGGGCTAGTTCTCCTTTGATAACAAAAGAAATCAGGAGATATCCATTACCAGGGGCGTCCCTAGGGTTGGTGTCACCCAGTGCAGTAACACCCCCCTCTGACAATCCCCGCAGAATGGATCGGATCTGCGGGTTGAGCATAATGGATCGGAGTCCGATCCATTATGCTCCCCAATCCTCAGATCCGATCCATCCTGCGGGGATCGTTGGCATGCAACCTATACAGGGTGACACCGGACCCGCTCCATGAAAAAGTAAGTTGTAAAGAAAGCCGACAAAAAGAAACCAAGGTGCAATCCACCTGGATACACAAAGTAGTTGTAATCATATATACAGTTTTACTAACACATGTCAAAGTTGCAAAATTGGGTCTTGGCGTTAAGGTTTGTTTTTATGTCCTGAAGGGGTTAAAGTGTTACTAAACCCACAACAGTGAAATCAGTCTGTATATGCAGTAAAGCATGCTTGTGTTATAGTCAATGTGGAGCCTAAGGGGTTAATCCTCCGCATTGTGTAAAAAGGCTGTTTGATACTGTCTTCTCTGATCCTCCCCTTCTTCCACTGTCCCCCTCTTATATAAGACATATTGTGTTTAGTCATTCTGCACATGTTCAATTTGGTGTGTATTGCTAGAGAGGTTTTTTTTTTCTTGGGAGATTGCATGTGATCAGCACAGGGCCAATCAGCACTGTCCAGACAGAGGTCAGGGGTTCTGCATACTCCTAGAGCAGAAAGAAAACTCCTACAAGCTTTAACCAGTGCTCTGCTGGACACTGATGGAAGTCACAAGACTGCTATATATTGCTGATGAGAAAAGGTATTTAGCAGTTTATGTTTACTAAAATAATTGCATTTCCATGTTGTGTGTACTGTGGGAGACCAGATATAGTGAATGCAGGGTCTGGGGAGAGCAGATATAATGAACGCAGGGTCCGGGGAGACCAGATATAGTGAATGCAGGGTTCGGGGAGACCAGATATAGTGAATGCAGACGCAGGGGAGAGCAGATATAGTGAATGCAGGGTCCTGGGAGAGCAGATATAGTGAATGCAGAGTCCGGGGAGAGCGTATATAGTGAATGCAAGGTCCGGGGAGAGCAGATATAGTGAATGCAGGGTCTGGGGAGAGCAGATATAGTGAATGCATGGTCCAAGGAGAGCGGATACAGTGAATGCAGGGTCCGGGGAGAGCGGATATAGTGAATGCAGGGTCCGGGGAGAGCGGATATAGTGAATGCAGGGTCCAGGGAGACCAGATATAGTGAATGCAGGGTCCAGGGATACCGGATATAGTGAATGCTGGGTCCTTGGGGGACCAGATATAGTAAATGCAGGGTCCAGGAGACCGGATATAGTGAATGCAGGGTCTGGGGAGACCAGATATAGTGAATGCAGGGTCTGCGGAGACCAGATATAGTGAATGCAGGGTCTGGAGAGAGCAGATATAGTAAATACAGGGTCCAGGGAGAGCAGATATAGTGAATACGGGGTCCAGGGAGAGCAGATATAGTGAATGAAGGGTCCGGGGAGACGGGATATAGTGAATGCAGGGTCCGGGGAGACCAGATATAGTGAATGTAGGGTCTGGGGAGACCAGATATAGTAAATACAGGGTCCAGGGAGAGCAGATATAGTGAATGCGGGGTCCAGGGAGAGCAGATATAGTGAATGCAGGGTCCGGGGAGACCAGATATAGTGAATACAGGGTCCGTGGAGACCAGATATAGTGAATGTAGGGTCTGGGGAGACCGGATATAGTAATTAAGGGGTCCGGGGAGATCAAATATAGTGAATGCAGGATCCGGGGGAGAGCGGATATAGTGAATGCAGGGTCCGGGGAGACCATAGATAGTGAATGCAGGGTCCGGGGAGAGCGGATATAGTGAATGCAGGGTCCGGGGAGACCATATATAGTGAATGCAAGGTCTGGAGAGACCATATATAGTGAATGCAGGGTCCGGGGGGAGAGCGGATATAGTGAATGCAGGGTCCGGGGAGACCATATATAGTGAATGCAGGGTCCGGGGAGACCATATATAGTGAATGCAGGGTCCGAGGAGACCATATATAGTGAATGCAGGGTCCGGGGAGAGCGGATACAGTGAATGCGGGGTCCGGGGAGAGCGGATATAGTGAATGCAGGGTCCGGGGAGACCATATATAGTGAATGCAGGGTCCGGGGAGACCATATATAGTGAATGCAGGGTCCGGGGAGAGCGGATACAGTGAATGCGGGGTACGGGGAGAGCGGATATAGTGAATGCAGGGTCCGGGGAGACCGGATATAGTGAATGCAGGGTCCAGGGAGAGCGGATATAGTGAATGCAGGGTCCGGGGAGAGCGGATATAGTGAATACAGGGTCTGGGAGAGTGGATATAGTGAATGCAGGGTCCGGGGTTTAGTAACACTTCAAGTTGTAAAATGAGCCTCTCTACAGCTGCATGGAGAAGCACAGGATCTGGTGGAAGAGTTCTGTCCTCCTCTCTGCTGGGATAATGTGAGGACGGAGATGAGGTGGGAGCTGCAGGAGAGGTGCGAGGACCACATGAAATGCCCTAGTGGGTCGCATTTGACCCGCGGGCCTCGTGTTTGACACATGTGCTCTATAGTGTGACACATCTGAATTTTATTTCTGCACACTGGAAGGTCCACTTTAAGGCGGAATGATCAGATTGCGGCATAAACAGAACTGGGACTCTTAAAAATGCCATTGGTAGTTTCCTCCTCTGTGATTAATGGGTAGGGTATGCCGTGTAGTGGCTTCTTTACGGCACTACTTTAATTTTGCATATACTCGCCTATCATACCCTCTGCAGACTTTGACAGATTTATACATAAACGCAGTTAAAAAGACTCTTCCACATAATCGCGGCTGTGATTCCTGTTCAGCGGTCCCTAAACTGTCAGAGTAAATATGCAGCAGCTTGCAGTCGGCGCAGCAGAGGTTGTCACACGGCCCTCCAACATTTGTCTTGTTTGGCGTTCCATTGTCATTAGTGAGCACAGATTAGCCTTATGGCACTGGGGTGGTTGATGAATGAGGGATCGGGGACGCACTCAGGTAGCAGACCGCACAGATGTCACCCAAGGTGAAGTGCACATCAAGGAGAGATCGCCAGGTGGAGCTGGGAAAAAACAAAACCAAAAGACACCATGCCCGAGAAAAACAATTCCTATTATTTAAAGTAAACCTGTCACATAACAAGCAGAGGTTTCTGTTAGTGAAAACCCCAAAAATATCCATAGATCTAAGCAGCTGAAGTTACATGCAAATCTTCAGTGTTCCTGAATAACATGAGCTTGGACATTCCTTTTTTATTAAACCTTCGAAGGCCTCACTATGGGTCTTTTATTGTTACGGGTGGCTTCATTATAGGAGGCAGGAGGGCATGGGGTCAAGCTTGGCTTCTATAAGAAATAAGAGGATTTGCCTGTAACTTTAGCTGCCTATAGGTCTGCATCTATTCATTTCCACTTACAATGACCTGTGTTTGAGTATTTTTATTTTTTTTTTGTATTTGTACTTTTTTGTATTGTAGGTGATAATGGACTAGAGCTCTGGGCAGAGGAGAAGAGCGCAGGAGTCAGCTGGAGCATGGATACAAGTAAGTGGTAGAACCTCTTCAACTTTTCTCAGACATTAACCCTTGTAATGCAGGGTGGGATGGGGGTAGAGGTGAGGGTTGGAGGGCACACTGCAAGGGTGAATTTCTTTCATTTAGAGCCTGGGTCAGGGGCGGACTGACAACTCATGGGGCCCCCGGGCAATAGGGGATCATGGGGCCCCTGTGTCCTTGAACAAACTCAAAAAAGCCTATGAAAAAGGTACCAGAGGCATCACATGGGGCCTCCTACTGACCTCGGGCCCTAGGGCAGTGCCCCGAGTTTCCAAATGGTCAGTCCACCTCTGCAGGCATATATCCAAAAACAGCACCTTTATAGGTTCCATGTACACTGCAGCTGATAAACTCACATTTAGGAGCTTTTTTTCTGCGTTTTTTTTTTTTAGCAGTCCCTGAACTCTCCCTGACAACTCATGGGGCCCCCGGGCAATAGGGGATCATGGGGCCTCTGTGTCCCTGCCCAAACTCAAAAAAGCCTATGAAAAAGGTACCAGGGGTATCTCATGGGGCCCCCTACTGACCCCGGGACCTGGGGCAGTGCCCGAGTTTCCAAATGGTCAGTCCGCCCCTGGCCTGGGTTCACACCCATATGGGAGAGTGTGCTGCACAGTGCTCTCCCAATACAAAGACCGGGGTGTCACTGAGAGCCCAATTCCGGTCACATGATTGCTGTGATAGCTTCTGATTGGCTATCACAGTGATCGGTCACTGTACAGCCCGGCCCCCTTGTTTGTTTGTTTTTTCTCTCTACGAATGGAGGAGAGAGATACATTGTATCTCCCAAACTCTTGGCATAGAGGGGAAACAAATGTTTGTTAAAAATAAATAAATAAACATTAAAAAAATAAATAAAAAATAAGAAAAAATACCTAGATCAACGTTTGATCTAGTTCGATGCCAGGGTAAGTGTTTTGGGTCAAGGTCAGGGTCAAAGGTCAGGATTTAAACAAAAAAAGGTGTTTGGTATTAGTGTCAGTTAGTGTCAGTGTGTTTTAATTAAACAAAAACAAAAATGCACACTATTGTCTCTGGGCTGTACTACGGGTACAAACAATAAATGAAACATACACATATATGGTATCGCTGCGATCGTCAAGAGCTGGAAAATGTATTTTGGGTTGTTCTGGTATTTTTTTGCTGGTAGGTTAGAAACACACAGCTAAATGAAAAAAAACATTTTTTTTTACTAGTTTGGGCAAGTTTTCCTTTGATAATAAAAAAAAAATCATGGGAGATATCCATTACCATTTACCACCACATGAAAACCCAGTTTGTCCTGAAGAAAAACGCGGTATAATTCACCTGGATGTACAAAGTAGTTGTGGTGATATGTACAGTTTTACTAACACATGTCAACGTTGCAAAATTGTGGGCATTTAGATTTGTTTTACCCTTAGGTGTGAAGGGGTTAAGAAATGAAATCCTCCCCTCCTGCTGCCTATGTTGCTGATCTCTGCAGTACTGAACAGATACCTCCAGCAGAATTCGACACTCCGAGGGATGCCTGATACCCCATTGCCCATTGTGATTCCTAACTGCTTAGCACAGAAAGAGACCAGGAATCTGACACACAGAAATCTGCAAGAACTGTCAAGGTGAAATCCAGGCAAGAAAACCTTAGGTTCACACTATAGAAACGCAGTCCAGATGAGTTCTGGATGCATTTCTGCATGCACATTTTTTACAGGTTTTTGACGCTTTTCCAGTGCGTTTTTTTTATGCATTCCCGTTTCTTTTTTTCCCATCTCTTTTTCTTCAATTTAAATTGGGACGTGTGTGTTCCGGTGCGTTTTTTGATGCATTTTACTGCATTCTAGTGCAGTTCTGTGCAGATAATATTCAGCCTTTTCTACTTTTTTTTCTGCACTCGGAACGCACTGAAACTGCAAGCACTTATATGAACTATGACATTGACAACCACATTACCTACTTTCTTTGCGTTTTGGATGAAAAAAAAAAAACCAAAAACTGAAAAGCATGTAGTGTGAACTGACCCTTAATATAAATGTATTTATCAATAGATACAAATCCACTTTATGTGCCCCATATACTTTTGCAAACACAAATACCATATAAAAGTAGCAGTGACATCATGACTGTGAAATGCATAGCCTGTGCAGAGAGAAGAATCGTGGGAGGGGCCCAGCAGGCTCCACCTACTACAGGCTGCCTGTAGAAATCTATAGAGGGGGCGGACACAAGACCAGTCACCCTGCACAAAGAGAGAGAACAGAAGTGACCTGTCTTTATTACAGGGAGCTCCTACACAAAGGAAAAGCTTTACTGCATAGATCTGGAAGAAATACACAAAGTACAGCAAGATTTTAGTATGAATACATATTACGAATGTATTTAGACAATATTTGCTTATCCTGGAGTTCAGCTTTTAGCAACCCATATCTCCATATTACTGCACCTGAATGTGTCCCACTGGTTTTGTATCTGCCCCTCATCATGATATCATGTTGGAATTCTTCAGGACCATGTGTGGACCCCCTGATGGACATGTGGCATCCAAATGACAGCAGTAATATTGCCAGAAAGACATGTGAGCAATACTGAGTGGCCCCTCCCACTCTACAGAGCAGACAAAAGAAGGTCACTTGACTAAAAGCGTAAGTAAGTAATTAGGCACTTTTTTCTTTTAAAAGAAAAATGTTTTTCCTTTAAATTAAAGAAATATTTTTCCTTTAAAGTTAAATAGCAGAAACCATATCGTACTCTCTGACTGTAGGGCATACTCTAGGTCAGAGAGTGAGGGTGGGAAATCTGAACTTATGGTCTCTTTCACGCTAGTGGCCAGGGGGTGGTAAAAACAGGCAGCCATGGATTTCCTGCCCCCTCACCACCTACCTAATGTCTAAAATGCAGCTGAAGGAGGCTGCTCACATGCCGCACCAAAAATGTCTTTCAAATATATGGGGCTGCGTCACAACCATAAACCAAATGCATGGCTTGCATTTGTGGAGCATTAGCCCCATTGTAAATGACCATTTTCCCCCTCAAAAAATCAGGCATTCAGGAAGTGGCAGGATCACATTTGGGCAGGTTTGTAATAACTCACATGGCATAATTATTTGCTTGGTGGAATGGCTTTGCAGCCCCAATACTTCTCTTCTCAGGTTCCCTGCTTGTCATCTTGGCCCCTCCTCCCTACTGAGTGCCCCCATAGCAAGCGGCTTGCTATGAAGGCACTCGCACGTGCTCGCACCTTGCTCCCGAGCCACACTCTGTGTGTTGATAAGACCCGCCCTCCGCTATCTTTTCACTGGCTGTGATTGACAGCAGTGGGAGCCAATGTCTCGGCCAATGAGGAGAGAGAGACCCAGGAGAACCAGCACTGGATCATGATCGGACTCGGTAAGTATTAGTGGGGCTTTGGGGGGAGCTGCATTCAGGTAAAAAACCTTTAGTCTTTACAACCACTTTAATCATTGGAAACAAATGCATGGTGGTGTATTTTTGAAAATGTTTTACAGAGCTATTCATACTGTGAAAGTGCATGCGCATTTGTTCTGTGTGGATGCCAGTAAAATCAATTTTTTTTTCTCTAGGTTATTTTCTCTCCAGGGCGGATGTTCCTCATTTATAGGAATAGCATGAATCAGGAAAATACTGCATTATGGTCACTAGATGGTGCTAACAATCATAATAAATGAGCATTTATTTCTATATCTAGTGGCCATAATGCGGGATGTTTATGTTTCCTGTTATTC